TTTCGGTCATTTGAAAATTTTTGGATTTCGGCTTCAAACTACACATGTATCAAACCTTTTGCGATCTTTCCAATGTCATCTTTATAGCTTACGTTGCTCTATCAAATAGTCATTTCAGCTCCAATTCAAAAAACTGAGGTGAGCTGATTTCCGCCGATATGAAAAGACTTATGGGACAACCTAATATTTTTGCGACAACGATAACATTTAGTAGAACAGGTTTACGTCAATTTCGCAAAACTCAAAACAAAACTTGAGATGACGCCAGATATTTTAGCTCTGGTCGTAAAACTCTGGAATTTCTGCTCTTTTCAGTACTGGAAATACACACTGGACTTCGCGGCTAAAGTCGGCTGCTTCTAAGATGTTCGATGTTTGGAAAAACGTGAAAGTATTTCATGTGTGGATTAAAGCATAGTACTGGTGATGTATTGTGTCTTTCCAGAGTTGATATCAGTTTTATTAGCAGAATATCTAGACGATCTAAGCAATCTAGCGGCGAGATCCGTCCTCGAAGAAGACTCCTCCGTCGAGGGCACAATATTTGGGACAGATACCACGCTCTCCGGGAGAGGCTGCTTGTCCTTTGTCTCCTGGTCGTCCTGGGTTTCCTGGGTTTCCGGGTTGTCCATCGTCTCCAGGAGGTCCCTTTGGTCCAGGTTGTCCTAAAAAGTATTAGGTTTGGAATTGCAATTAGTATCAAGTTTCGAAAACAAATAGGCGCAAATTACCTGGTCCTCCGGGGTAACCGGGTTGTCCGTCTTGTCCAGGTGGTCCAGGTGGTCCTTCTGGTCCTGGAGGTCCTGGTGGTCCTGGGGTAGGAGGAATTGAGTAAGCGGGCTGTCCGGGCATTCCAGGTGCTCCTGGTTGTCCGTCCAATCCAGGCTGTCCAGGAGGTCCTTTGGGTCCTGGAGTGCCTTGCTCTCCTGGAGTTCCGGGCTGTCCTGGATTTCCATTGTTTCCTGGTGCTCCTGGCTGTCCTGGTTGTCCTGGTGGTCCAGGTGGTCCTGCTGGGCATGGTCTGCATGGAGCAGGGGTTGGGATGTCACAAGGCTGAACTGGTGGGCGTCCTGGGTTTCCGGGTGCTCCTGGTGCTCCTGGGTTACCGGG